AAACAGAGTCTCACTCTGTCACCCAGGCTAGAGTGCAGTGATGTCATCATAGCTCACTGCAACCTCAAACTCCTGGGCTCAAACAATACTCCCACCTCAGTCTCCTAAGTAGCTGGGATTATAGGCACATGCCACCATGCCCGGCTAATTTTTTCTATTTTTTGTAGAGATGGGGCGTCTTGCTTTGTTGCCCAGGCTGGTCTCGAACTTCTGGCCTCAAGCGATCCTCAGCCTCCCAAAGCGCTAGGATTACAGGAATTAGGGTACATTATGCAGCCATTAAAAAGAACGAAGCAACTCTAACTGTAGTCATATAAAGCAATCCCCAAGATATACTAAGTGAAAAAACATGCGTAAATAACAAAGTCCATATATGCTCACGTATGCGAAGGTGACCCAGGATACTGGTGACGCTGGCCGGGCAGCAGAATTGGAAGCCGACGGCTATACCCTTTTATACATTTCAAATTCTGTATCTCAGTTGTGTATTACCTGTGAATGGAAAACAAAATTCAAAAGAACTTTCAAAAGTAAAAATAAAGTTTAAAAACTTTAAAAGCCCCACATAAAAATAAGGGACAGGTGGATGGAAGAGAGTAGGTGGAAGAGAAATATGCAATTCTGCTTCGTGGAGGTTCACAGCATCTTGTGTTTTCACCTGCAGGCCTGCAGCTGGAGGTGTCCAACGAGAGTTTCGTCTTTGACAACGTCACCGTCTCCCTGACGTGGCTTCTCTCTCCCTACATAGGAAACCTGTCCTGTATCATTAGTACAGGAGATGGCCACACTTTTGATCCCTACTACCCTCCTAGGTAAGGGGAATCTCTGAGCCTTGGGTCAGGTTGTATTAGTCAGTTTTTGCTGCGTAACAAACCATCCCTTGCTTTAGTGGTTTAAAGCAATAGTTGTTATTTTTGATCATTCTTTGGAGAGCTGGGTGGCTTTTCTTGCCTGGGCCAATTCAGCTAGGGTTGACTGGTCTAGCAAGGCCTCGCTAGACCTTGTCAGTTAAGGACACGTACTGTTCATCACCCAACTGGCTAGCCGAGGCTCATTCGCGTGGTGGCAAAGGGTTCCTAGCAGCAAGTGAGAGCCAGGCCTGATGTGCAAACATTTTTCAAATCTCTACTTGTGTTGAATTTTCTAACATCCCATTGGTCAAAGCAAGTTCCATGGCTAAGCCCAGATTCAAGAGGAAGAGAAAGACTCCATGATAGGAGTATGGCGCCATACTTCGAAGGGGTAGGCAGACAGGGATGGCAGGAACTATTGTTGCTGTGTTTGCAAACACTCTGCCAACGCAGGTTTTCTCAGTATGGAGGCTACATGGAAAGTCAGGAGAAAGAGCTCGGTCCTTCTGGCTCCGCTCTGTGCGGAATCTCAGCTCAGCTGGGAATGGGGTGAAGAAGATGCTCATCTTGGTGTGAGGGACATTTTCATTGGTGAGGACAATAAAAATAATAGTAGTAATGTTAATATGAATATTAATATTAATAATAGTCCATAATAGTCCAGCTAAGCAGTATGCACACATAATCCCATTCAATCCTCACAACAACCCTAGAGCTACAGCTGTGCTGTCCACGTGGCAGCCACTGGCCACACAAGCTACTGAGCACTTGAACTGTGGCTGGTCTCGACCGAATTGTGCTGTAAGTATGAAATACACACGGACTTTTGAAGACTTAGTCCCCTCCCAAATATGAATGTAAAATATCACACCAATGATTTGTTGCTATTGCTTATAGGTTTAAATGATAGCATTTTGGATATATTCGGTTAAAGAAAATGAATTATTGGAATTAATTTCACCTGGTTCTTCTCACTTTTCTCAATGTGACTGTTAGAAAATTAAAAGCCACACATGTGGCTCACATATGTCCACGGGGCAGGGCTGTGCTCGATGATCATCGTCTTGTTGTCACAGACAGAGGAGTTGAGGATGAGGGAGGTACGGTAGTGTCGCCCATGTCACACAGCTGAGGCGTGGCAGAGCGGCCGGGCGAACCGCGGCTGTCTGGCCTCGGGTGGAGACAGCGCAGCGTGGGGCACCAGGGCCTGAGACACTGCACCTGGCAGCCTCCAGGGCAGAGTTACCTCCCCAACCTGACAGACGCTAAACCTGATTCACAGCATTTCAGAGTTCAATGTGGAACCCCAGGGAAATAACAGGTGGCCCAGGCTCCCCTGGCCATATGCTTCTCTCCTAGCCCCAAAACACCTCCAGTTGCAGGGGCTGAGGTTCTGGATCCAGCCCCCTGGGTGCCAGATTCCCAGAAGCCCTGGGTGGGGTGGAGCAAATGGGGCCAACCCTGTCCACAGCCCAGATCTGACCCAGCGAGTTCAGGTCTCCAACTGAGCAGCGCTCGAAGGTCAGGGGGACCACGCACGGGCAGCATCCGTGACACCAATTACAATGGGCCACCCTGAGGGTCCTGAGGCCAGGGTTCTGATCCCAGCTGCTGCTAACACGATGTGAGACTCTGAGACAACCCAGTTCTGCTGGCATCCTGTTTCCTTCCCTGTCACATTTATATTGATGGCTGTGTTGAGTGTTTCATGGAGTAAAATGAGAAATTACGCTGCTATCATTTTATCAAGAAAACGATGACTGGTAAGCTACACAAACTGTCAGCCCCCAAATCTTATGCAGCTTGCATGTGGCATAAGTCAAAATTGATCATATGTAGCCCCGCTAAGACCTTCTGCTTACATGAGGACTTTTCAGCGATAAACAAACAGTGGTTTAGAAGTGAAGAAAATGGGACAGAATGCTAACATTTGTCGATTCTGGGTAGTGAGTCCAAGTCTGGAATTTTTTGTGTGATTACGACACTAGAAACAACGAGCACCATTTTACATTTGCAATCTCTCCAGGCACTAACCCTAAGCAAGGGCCACTGGCAGTTTTTTCTCTCTCAAAAGAAATAGAGGGTGGTGCCCTCTGCACCACCACCCCACCCAATCAATCCAACTGCCTTTAATTTAAAGATTTGTTGGACCTTGAAACTACCCTGGCACCTTTGTCTATCGTTTTTATTAACATGGGGAGATATATTTCTAGTGCTTTCTCATCAACACCAGCAGTCCCAACACCCAGTTTATAAAATGGAAAATAGCATGAATTTTAAGTACATAGAAGCCACAGGCTTTGTGTAAATGCCACTGTGCTTTTATGTTTGTACAGACTCCTATTTTTGCTTCACTCCTTGTTAGTCTAGGAGGCAGAGATTTTAAAATCACACGCTCCACGTTTATCCTACATGAATATGAGCTCATAGGGAGAATCCAACCTCAAATAAAATCGGCATAATAAAAGTCAAAGGATTTCCCCTTCATGTATTATTATTATTTTTAGAGACAGAGTCTTGCTCTGCCATCCAGGCTAGAGTGCAGTGGCACGATCATAGCTCACTGCAGCCTTGAACTCCTGGGCGCAAGCCATCCTCCCCACTCAGCCTCCTGAGAAGCTGGGGCTACAGGCTTGAGCCACCACACCCGGCCGATTTCCCCTTTAGAAGCTCCTTCTCACCTTGCATTCTCTGTGTCTTGTGTTCGTTTGCATGGTGGGCTGTTTTTTTTTTTTTTCTGCTTGTCATGGAAAACGTTCTACATTTCGGAAATAGTGTCAGGGGCTTTACAGAACAATTTATACAAGGTGAAATGTGTCCAAGTCCAGCGTTGGTTAGCTCAGCGCCACCTACTGCTGGATCTGGGGATTGACACTGTTCTTCAGTTACTCAGAGCAGCTTTTGCACAGCTGAGTCTCGGAGAGCGGAGGGGATTTGTCTGGAAACCGATAATTCACAAGACAATATAAGCCTTATAGTGACCTAGAGGCTAAAGTCCTTTCTGAGGGAGCCAGAATTATAAGGCAGGAGCAGCGGATCTAGGGAAAAGGGAACAGCATGGACCTGAAAGTGTGTGGCATATTCGAATAACCGCAAGCACCTGGTTACACACCTGCAGTTCGGGGTCTGCGGGGAAAGGAAAGATGCTGGAAGTCTCAGCAGGGGCCTGGTCAGGAAGAGCCTTTGACGCCAGCCAGTGTAAGGAGATTTTTCTCCGGAGAGTACGTAGGTTGGCTATGTCAACAGAAGGAAAAAAATGCAAGCTTTTTAAATGATTGGAGTTAGTTTTATTCCAAAATCTTACAGAGGGCTATAGACCAAGGACCACAGCCCAGGGGAGTCTTTCAGAGAGGTTCTGTCAGGCTGTTGCAAAACAGCGTTTCAGCTTGTAGCTTATATACAGATCGTGGAGGGTCAGTACCTGTCAGATCACACCAGAGTTTGGGTGCGAGAGTAAATCCGGTTACATTACCTCCGGTTATGCAGAAACACAATCCCTTAACCCCATCAGACGTTTTCTTATGTGTAGGAAAAGGCAAGGACTTGCGTCATTTGTCTTTTTAGAAATATAGTGACTCAGGCAAGAGATGTGGGAGCCTCCCGCTCTCAAGGATAACCACTATACTGATTTCTAACATCATAGATTCGTGGGACCTCTGCTTGGAATTTATATAAATACAACCATAAAGTATACACTCTGCATCTGACTTCTGCTCAATATTACATTTTGAGGGTTTATCCACATTGTATGTAATTATGATTTCTTTTTTCTCACTGCTATATAACATGCTATTGTGTGAATATGCCTCGATTTACTTATCCATTCTGATGCTGATAAGCATTCTGGTGGTTTCCCATTTGGGGCTATTACAAATGTGCTGCCATGAACATTCTAGCACATGCATGTCTTGTGGGGTGTGTGTGTACACATTCCTGTTGACTGTATACCCAGGAATCGAATTGCTGGGTCAAAGCATCATAGAATGAATTTTTAAGTTGTTGTCTTCCTTTCTTTGGATTCCGAGCATCTCTTTCCTTTGCTGGCAACAGTGTCTAAAACCACTTACTGGTCTTCTCCCCTGGGTGAGATCCCTGGGAGAGAAATCAAGAAAGATCCATGTCTCTGCCTTTTAGTCCTGGGCAATTTCAGATGACACCAGAGTTCAGAGAATGGAATAAATTTCTTCTTCCAGACAGATCACTGAAAGGTAGACCGAACTTTGCTATTCAAAGCCATCCTTCACAATAGAGTTACTATTGCATTTTCTTGTTCTGAAATCTACATTGTCTGATGTTACAATAACAGTGGCCACTCAAACTTTTTTTTGGATGTTTGCCTCTTTTTATTTTTAATCTGCCTATGTCCCTCCTTCATGTTGACTTTGGCCAGTCCAACAACAATATGCCTTGGTAAGGCCCTTGTTGCAATGAATCTCCCAGGTGTTTGTTGAGCTCCTTGTATCTGGATGTCCAAATCTCTAGTAAAACCAGGGAAGTTTTCTTCAGTTATTCCCACAGTAGGTTTTCCAGATCTTTTGCTTTTTCTTCTTCATCCTCAGGGATGCCTATGATTCTTGTATTTGGCCATTTTACATAATCCCATATTTCTTGTAAACTTTATTCATTCCTCTTGATTCTTTGTTTTCTGTTTTTGACTAAGTGAGTTGATTCGAAAGAATTGTCTTCAAGCTCTGAAATTCTTTCTTCTGCTTGGTCTAGCCTATTCTTAAAACTTTCCACTGTGTTTTGTATTTGCCCAAATTAATTTTTCATTTCCAGAAGCTCTATTTGGTTAAATCTATCTATATCATTGTATTTAAAGTCAGCGTCTCGGAGACAGTATGTAGTTGGGTTTCATTTTTTAAAATCCAGTCTGGCACAATAATTGGTGTGTTTAGACCATTTAGAATAAATGTGCTTGTTGATTTAGTTGGATTTAGTTCTGGTATTTTGTTGTTTTCTGTTTGCACCCTCTGTTGATTTTTCCTCTGTTTTCCCTTTCCCCCCTTCTTTTGGATTATTTGAATATTTTTAGTATTCCATTTTAACTTATCCTTTGGATTTTGGGCTGTATCTCTTTGCATTATTTTTTTAAGTAATGTTTTACCATTTTTTAGTAATATTTTACTATTTCAGGTAAAATATTGAAGTCTTACTAGAATATAGGTCTCTTTACTGTTGCTCTTTTATGTTATAATCACCCTATGTATGACATCTAAATATGTTGAAAACCCTCTCAACAATCATACATATTTTAAAAAATTTAGGAAGAGGCCAGCATGGTGGCTCATGCCTATAATCCTACCGCTCTGGGAGGCCAACGCGGGAGAATCGCCTGAGCTTAGGAGTTCAAGACCAGCCTGAGCAAGAGTGAGACCCTGTCTGTACTAAAAAATATAAAAATTAGTCAGGTGTGGTAGTGTGCACCTGTACTCCCAGCTACTTGGGAGTCTGGGGCAGGAGGATCGCTTGAGCCCAGGGGTTTGAGGTTGCAGTGAGCTACGATGA